TTTGATGGATTAAGTTAAGTGATAGGGAAGGGGAAGACGAGAATTGAGTTTGGAAACAAAAATAAGGGTTTATAGGGCAAAATAACAATCAAAGCCAATTTTCTGTCCAACTCCCAGGTGTTAATGGATTTTTGCCCTGGGAGTGATGAATTTCACCCCGAGTGTGAAGATTTTACCCCGGACGTGAAACTTCTCCAAAAAAATTAATTAGTTTGTTTCTCACCTAAAACATTAGACCAACTCAAAATACATACCAAGAGTTATTCTAAAGTCGAAATATAAATATGGAACTCAAAATTATACGCACCAAAAATTCAGGTGTTACAGTATGGGAGGTGCAACTAATGTGCAATTTGACCTAAATGAGTGCACAATCAAGCCCAAAAACCATCTTGCACTCCTTGAGATACCAAGCAACAAATCTCATTTCAAGGAGGCTGTCGAATTTCTGAAGAACTCTATGATCGGCTATGCTCTGACCTTCAAGCCCATTGCCATCAAAGAATACCTGACCAAATTCTGGTACACGGCTCAGGTAGTTCAATCATCCGAAGACAAGGGAAAAGAGATCACTAGAATCTCCTTCAAGATTGATGACCTTTTTGCAAACTTTGGACCAACGACTCTACGCTTAGTGTTGCAGCTTCCAAAAATTGCACCCTATGTCGTTGAACCAACCACTGAAAAGATAATGGAGTTCCTAGATGCCATCCACTACAATTGGCTATCAAAGAAGGACTCGATCAAAATCAACAAGTCCCTGTCAAAAGTGGAGAATAACAAGATGTCAGCTGTCAGGAGCTACCTCTTCTCTCACTTCGTCTAGTGTATGGGAGAAAAAACTAGTGGACATGATCAAGTTAGTAGAGTACCACTCAACACTGGCTACTATGTGATCTACAAAAGGAATATAGATTACACTCAATTGATCTTTGATGACTTGTTCATCAAGATCAACAAGAGACAGAGGGAAAAGGTCATTCCCTATACACGCTTCCTCAGCGGGTCCTTTCACGAATCTTTAAGGACAAATACCCCACTGAAAGGGACGTGTCGCTGTCCAAACTGGGCCAACAAATCCTTGACCCCAAAGTCAGAGACACAGACGTCGGTCTTTTTTAGGTATGTTCCCTCCTTTCTCTTTTAAATCTCAAACTTCTTTGATTTGTGAAACTAATTCACTGAATTTACCTTCAATGATACCTAATGTTTCACGCTCTTCTCTGAAAAAGACCTTTTGACGCCCCTCTTAGTCCTTCAAGGAAGGCTAAGAAAGCCAAAAGGGTGAAAACCATAACTCTGAGGGGAATATCTCGACAGGTTATACTCTTTGAACTTGGACTCAGCACTCAGGCACCTGCAACCACCACCACCACCATCTTTTCTACAACAACTTCCCCAGTTGTAGTCGTACCAATGGATGCTTCCATAACAACCACCTCAGTGACTCAAATCACTGAGAGTATGATTTAGTGCTCACCATAGCCTACCTGCTGCACATGATCAATGTCTTTATGCCTTCAACTATCGTCTCCCCCTCTCCATCATTGGTCTCCACTACACGAGTTGATGAGGTACCAGTGATTGTCCCCACTAGTGTTGAAGCAACAATGGGCATAGGACCTGAGGATGCTACTCATAAGCAACCTCAGCAAACAAATGTTGATCCTCATGACAGCATTGATGAAACTCTCAGGATTGATCCTTTAGACAATTCTGAAGAACCCTCATGTACTTCATCTTTACCCATCTATTCTTTAATTTCTAACCATGAGCTCCTCAAAGCTCTATATCTTACTTCCATTTCTAATATTTCAGGTCCTTTTTTGAAGGAACCACCCTCAGCCGATAACTACAACATGGTTGAGGATGTAAGCCCCTCGATATCGTCCTCACCAATGTCCAAATAATGACATCCAGAGTTGAGGACCTCTAGGCCTCCATGTTCTCGGCTAAGAAGGACCTCTTCCCTTTCTGTGGTGATGTCTCCAATCTAAGGCATGAGGCCACTGAAAACAATAAAGTTGTTGCTGCTCTTCACCAGTCCTTCCGTCAACATAGCAAAGGGTGAATCTGAAGTTGCAACAGCACACTGATCTGCTCCAGCAGATTATGTCTTCAGTACAAGGCCTACCTACTCCAGCACCATCCTTCCAAAGTGTTGATCGTCAAACATTGGAGATGGTGGTTGATTACATGATCAAGCAGACAGAGTCTTCCAGCAAATTGGAGGTTGAAATCCTTTGGTTACATCAACAACCTCTCCCTCATTTTGATGATGACAAAGAGGAGAGAAGGAAGAAGAACAAGCTGAAACATAAGCGAAAAAGCTTATTGCAAATGCTGAATGACTTCTCTATCCATCCACTTTAGTTGCCCATCTTGCTGATATGAAGGATGAAGAGGAAGAAGAAGATGAGGACGAAGAGATTGATAATGATGCTAACATCGTAAAAAATGTTGATGACAATAACGATGATGAGAAGGATGACTTCTGCATCTAGAGTGCACCTACCTCCTCAATCACTCGCGGAATCTCCTTATTGGATCCCTCATCGAAGGGGGAGACTCAGCAACAGTCTTCCTCCAAAGGAAAGGAAAAGGAACAAAATGAAGTAAGTCCTAACTCTCCATTCTCTGAAGACCCATCACCTCTCCCTATAGTATGCATATCTGAAACCATCCTCTTCCCTCACCCAATAAAAAGCATACTCTTTCCTCTTCCATTCACTTTTATTACAATAATTATTTCCTTTGTCTCTGCACATACCTCTATCTCTCCATGTGATTCCTAACCAACAATGGATCCCTAAATCATCTTCCATGGTTCGTCCTGGATGACTCTTATACTGAAGAAGATGAAGACATTGACATTATTCCAAGATCCTCATATTTCACTGTGTTATATTCAAAGCTGAAGAATCAGCTAGGATGAGATCTAGAGCTGCATCAAAGAGTTGAACTCTATCAGAGTAAAAGTTCTTCTTCGTACCTGTGGGGATGAGTTCAGCTTCCTCTCGAAGAATGAAAAGCAAGAAGTTATTCAGGCTCAACAAGAGATAGAGAGGCAACAACAACTAATGAAGAAAAGCCTAGATCTTACAAGGAGCCTGGCAATCGATACCCTAGATGAAGGGAGGGTCACCAGAATCAATCGAATCGATGCTCAAGTGGCACTGTTCGGAAAAGCTGAAGAGGACAAAGCCAAAATGGACTCACAGGTGGAGAAAGAACAAGAACAAAGGCGGTATAGACTAAAGGTTGAGCTTTGTTTGAATGCTCATAAAATAACTAAAGTAATTGTAAATGGAAGGAAGAAAGAGAGAAAAATCTTAGTTACCACCACCATCTTCAGGGATGATACTAACTGGATCACTGATTATCCATCCTTCTTCTACAAATACGGCTTCCATGAATAGTTGGAAATAAGACAAGCCATACAAAAGTCCAAATACAGATACAAATGCTAGATTGAGAGTAAATTGAACAAACTCTTTGACAAAGTCTCCAAAGTTGTATCCATCCCTCCTCTACAACAAAGGACTTCAAGAAAAAAAAATCAGCATTGATGAATGACCTTCCTTCAGAAATGAACATGAAACAAAGTTCTCAGCAGATGTGATCTTTAGAAAAATAAAAAATAGTTTGGAAACTTAATCATTCAAAAATAAAAGACCAAAAACCAAAATCAACCATGATCAATAACTGGAAACTTTAAGAATCGACAAACAAAAACACCCTATAGCGAATCAGATCTAGCAAACGGAAGACCCTACAAGTAATTATAACTCTGGTTTGCTAGAAATTGCTTGTCGTTTGTTAAAAAGTGGTCAAACTAATAAAAGCCCGAGGACGAAAAATCATAGTTTACTCTTAATTTAAAAAACCTCTAATAAAAGTCGATAAACATCTCCAACACCTATGTTATTTTAAAATATTCTAAAGATTTAAAAAAAACGCTCCAACAACTTTGCTAAAATCTTCTTTAAAAAGAGAGAGAATAAAAAAAAAAAATCTCCAAATTCGAAATAATAAAAAATATATAACATATGTGTTAGAGATGCTCTTAAATACATCTCCACGAGCTTTATTATATTTTCTTTTTCTAAAATCAAATACTGAAAGTCAACATATTTTAAAAAAATTACATCAAACTTTAATAGGTATTATTATATTTTAAAGAATTTAATATTAATTATATTATTAAAATATTCGATACATTTAGGGGTTATTTGTTTACCTCTTAATAGTTACATTAAGATGCAGCATCTGAATCGTTAAGAGATGAATCTTGTTTGGCAAAAAAAAAGTATGTCTCTTAATGGTTCTAAGACCCTCTGAATGATTTTGTATCTCGAGTCTCCCTTAACCATTTAGTGCTCTAATTTCACCATAAACAATTACCAAACAATTATATTTCCTTTTGCATTATATCATAAGAGTCTCTTAATCATTATGACCACTTAATCATTATGTATCAAACCATTCATGTCAAATAGCTCCTTAATAAAATATTATTTTTATTTTTTAAAAATAATTAAAAATATAGAAAATATTTTAAAACACCAGAGATCCTGTTTTAGCATAAGAGTTAGAAATTCCAAGTTAAAAGACTGTGTTTTGCACAAAGTGGTGATCAGCCTTGCTTTTGGAAGTTCCAATCAATTAAAGCACTTTTTGCTTTTTCAAATATTAATTTCTTTTTGTTGGAAATTGGTAAATAAATAATAATAATAAATAAATAAAGCAAAAATCAAGAACCAAATGGGTTTTAAAACTTCAAAACACCACAACACAAAAATCATAAACAGAACCATTTCTTGGATCCTTACAGAAACACAGAAAAAGAAAGCTGGGCTCCATTTTCACCATTTTCTCATTATTACATCTTCAATCTCAAGATTTTAACATCATCATTCTCTCTCTCTCTCTCTCTCTCTCTCTCTCTCTCTCTCTCTCATATTTGCATGTCTTCTTCTTCCCTCTAAACTCAAAAACCCATGTCCATTTTTGTCCCAGAAAGCCCAGGTATATTCTCTCTCTCTCTCTCTTCCTCTCTCTCTCTCTTTCTATACATATATATATGTATATGTATGTATAGATCTTCTGTGAATAGCACCTGATTGTCCAGTGCTCTGACTTTTACATTATAATATTACTGTCATCTTCAATCTTTTAATGCAAAGACATGTTGCTATTTGACAAAACCCTACTGCCATTATCAAAAAATTGAAGTTTTGCTGACATATAATTGTTAAAGTTGTTGCCTTTTTCTTCAAAAATTTGGGGGTTTAGGGCTTTTTATGATCTGGGTTTTCTTACCAGTTTCTCTTTCACATTTCTTTCTGGTAAGCTATCAGATCCTGATCTGGGTTTCAGATCTACACATTCTACTCTTTCCTTCTTACCTTCATTTCTTTTTTCTGTTTTTGGGTGTGTTTCAGATCTGTATATGTGTTTTGATGTGGTATGAACACAATTGGGGGTTAGGTTTTCTTCAAAAGTACAAGATTTTGTTATGAGATCACACATCATAGCAATTGGGTGATTGCTTTTTCAGTGGGTATCTGCTTCTTCTGTAAGATTTCAAGATTTCTTGAAATAAGATGAGATCAGGAGCAATGAGTATCAACTTTCTTGAAAAAGTTCAAGTTTTTCTCATTAAGAGATGAGATCATGATTGAAATTGTTCTTGAATGAACACATGGTGTTGAATTTGGGCAAATGATTTGAATTTATTTTGGTTTTAATTTGCTTAGTGGAAACAGAGTTTGGAATTCAGCTATAAATCAAGCTTAATCTGTTTCTGAATCAGATTCTTGATAGAAATACATGAATCTATAGATACATCCCTTTGTCTCTAACCCTACTGTTTCGAAAACACTGATTTCAGGTTTGTTATTGGCTGCGAATTCGACTATTCCTACTATGCTTAAGCAAATCCTTGCGAAACTCCCTCGGAAATCATCGAAATCGAATCCGACGTATTCAGACGGTAGCAATGCTGCTACTGATTCGGGCAACAATGGCAGCTTCACCAACACCTGTAACGTTATTTCAAGTCGATTGAATGTTGTTAAAAAGATGTCGTCTTCGATCTTTCCGACATCCGGTGGCGAGATGATCCAGCCTCATATACCGTTTAAGGATGTGCAGAGCTCCGATAAGCCGAGGCTTCTTATCAGTAAGTTGAATCTTTGCTCTAACGTATACGATTTCGATGATCAAGATAAAGATAACGCCGAAAAAGATCTAAAACGCCAGGTTTTAGTCGAGATTCTTGATTTTATTGTGTCCGAATCCACAAAACTCGCGGAGCCGGCCATGTCGGCTATCTGTAAGATGTGTGGCGATAATCTTTTTCGAGAGTTCCCTCCGAAAAACTCGGCTCGTTCGCCTCGCGGCGAGACGGAAGATGAAGATCCGTGGTTCGATCCGGCGTGGTCTCATTTACAACTCGTTTATGAAATCCTCCTACGATTTGTTAGTCTTAGCTCTCTCGATCCAAAGATCGCTAAACAGTTCATCGATCACTCGTTCTTGTCGAGGTTACTCAATCTCTTTGATTCCGAGGACCCACGAGAACGCGAGTGTTTGAAGTCGGTTTTACACCGGATTTACGGCAAATTCATGGTCCACAGGCCGTTTATACGAACGGCTGTCAGCAATATCATCTACAGATTTGTTTTCGAAACCGAAAAACACAACGGCATTGCGGAACTACTGGAGATTTTCGGGAGCGTGATTAGCGGATTTGCATTGCCGTTGAAGAAAGAACACAAGACGTTCTTGTCACGGGCTCTGATTCCACTGCATAAACCAAAATCCGTGGGAATGTATCATCATCAACTAACGTATTGCATCGTTCAGTTCATCGAGAAAGAACCCAAACTAACGAGCGTCGTGATTAACGGGCTGCTGAAATATTGGCCCGTAACCAGTAGTCAGAAGCAGTTGATGTTCTTGAGCGAGCTGGAAGAGCTGCTCGAGCTCATTCGTAGCGATGAGTTCGAGAAGGTTATGGTTCCGTTATTTCAACGTATAAGTTGCTGTCTCGATAGCTACCATTTTCAGGTAATGTTCAAGTTTTCGGGCGTAACCATTGTGCAAAGTTTCTAAGCTTTTAATTTGACATGGTAGTTTGGTAATTTATCAAGCTTTGTCCGGTCCTACTCTAATTGTCAGACCAAATGTGGGACAAGTTTTTTGTGTCATGTCTTGTACTGTCCTGCATACCAAACACATCCGAAGGGCATTCTGGAAGAGGAATCCAACGAGGTTTCACATATTCTTACATGGTATCAGAGCAAGGTCTACCACTTTAGGGACTCGATACTCTAAGGCAATCTATACTCGTTTAGCCCCCTCTCGACGCTTTGAGACATATGTACTCATCTAGCCTTAGTTTTTTTTTTAAGTATATAATATTTATATACGGCAAATAGAACAAATAAACTCACTCACCCTCCTCATCTTTGGTGAGGTTTGAACCTCTGACCTCATAGGAGGCGAAAGGCTCACATACCGCTAGGCTAAAGGCCCTTTTGGTGTCTAGCCCTAGTTGGAGGGGGTGTGTTAGGGTCCCACATCAGCTAGTCTTTGATCATTTATCCTCAATATATATTGGAACCTTCCTTCTCTCCTGGGTCTCTTTTGGAGAGTAATCTAATAGGGTTTCACATATTCTTTATAGGGTTAAACTGTATTATAACGAGTTAATCCTGATCTTGTGGTAATAACATTCAGGTGGCCGAGCGAGCGCACTTCTTATGGAACAATGAACACATACACCATCTTATAATGTGTAACCGACAAGTGATCATGCCTATCGTCTTCTCGTCTTTACAACGCAACTCCAAGAACCATTGGAACCGCACTGTGTTCAACCTAACGCAAAATGTCATGAAGATGTTTCACGAGGTAGACGAGCCGTTGGTGGTTTCATGCCAAGGCAAGTTCGAGGAGGACACATCCGCCACCGCCGCAGTGGTTGAGAGGCGGCGCTTGACATGGGAGCAACTTGAGAAGGTTGCCGGTGGCGGTGGTTTCGAACCGGTTTCGGTTCTAGAGAAACCCGCCGTCGCCGCCACCGCTTGTGTCGTCTCGTGCTAGGGGAAGTAGTCGGTTACGACTTTTAGCGGTCGTGAAGGCTTCCGATGTTTGATATTTGTGTTGGTGCACTTGGGCAAGTGTGGTTTTTGTAGTTTTTGAGAGTGTTGTTGCTCTCATTTCAACAATGTTGCTATGTATATCAATGGTGTTGTCTTATTTCAATCAGCAACTTCTTTTACGCGTTTTATAAAGATATATATATTAAACTGTTAGGGGGTGTTTGGTTCGTAGAATGATTTTTGAATGAATGGAATATGTCAAAGGAATTGGAATGAAATGTTATCAGGTTTGACTAAGTGTTTGGTTAGCATGAATGTAATGTAATCTGTCTAATAGATTAGAATCTGTCTGTTTGGTTTGTAATGGAATGAGAATGGAATGATGAAAAAAAGGACAAAATACCCTTTCTTTGAAACAGTAAATCATATACAAAAATATGTCAAATTAGTAATATGAAGCAGTAATATGATGTAGAAACAGTAACAAAATCGATGCAGAAATTAAAGTATAAACCGGAAGCGGAGATCGAAGTATAAATCGTAAGCAAAAGTCGGAATAGAAATCGAAGTATAAATCAAAAGCAGAGATCAAATTATAACTTGTGAGTAGAAATCGTAAGCAAAAATCGGAAACAGTAACAAAATCGAAGCAGAAAACAGAAATTATACGTTGAAGATAACAAAAATCGTACATGCAGTCTTTGATCAATGAAGAAGATGAAACAGTCGTTCAAAATGAGAGAAACCAATGGTTCGATAGATTGGAACTTGGAAGTAGTAGATGAGAATGGAAAAGGTGGAATGAGGATATTTTTGTCATTTATAAATTTTTGGATGGAATGGATTTCAATTCCATCTCTTTTACGAAGGAATAGTGAAATCCCTAAATGAGAGAATCTTTGGACTTCAATTTCATTCCGTGGATAATCAAACGTTAGAATGAAATTTATTGACCATTTCAATTCTATCATATTCCGGCAAACTAAACGCCCTCTTACGGATTGAGGACCGGTGCTAAAAACGTTCGGCCGGCCCAAAGACCGGTTGTAAGCAAAAGCTCATTTTGGTCATAAATTTTGAACCTAGGACCGTCCTTAACCGGATAAAGCCCGAAAACTGTTCATTGGTTAGCCGTAGTGATGGCCAAACCGGCCTGGCCCGGCCCGGGACCGGCAGGGACAACACTTTTATCCGAAAAATTTATTATCCAACAAGTCATTTAATTTTACGAAGACCAATACGATTGGGCAAGGTTGATGTCTTGCATGAAAAAGAAATTATTAAAATATTTTATGGGCATTTCATTTGCTTTTCTTTGTGCTGTGGCGTTAAACCCGTATTTAAATATTGTCGGTGTTGAAGTTTTAATTACACAAGTATGTGTGGCTTTTGGTTTGGATACCGCTACGGATAATTCTTTTCCAATGGAACAAAAAAGTTTGTTTAATCGTAATTTTCAAGATTTATTTGATCATTACTAACATTTTTACGGGGGAGAAAACCAACCACAAACACCTTCAAGTCGTGGGTTTGAGGGCTCTAGTTCTTCTTCTAGTGGTCATCGACAAAGTCGTAAAGAGTCGATGACTAATTTAATGAACGAAGTTTTAAATGAATCAAGTAAAAAAGTCGATATGATAACGATTTGGGTGAACTAAATATGTATGTGCACACTAACTTTATGGTCGCATGCCCCGCAAATGATGTCGAAGATTTTGAAAAAATTGATTTATTAGATTTTTGGAAACAAAAACAACCTCAATTCCCGATTTTGGCATGCATCGCACGTGATGTACTAACAATCCAAGCTAGTACCGTAGCTTCGGAGTCTGTTTTTTCTCTTTGTGGCAGGATCATTTCGATACGTCGGACAAGACTAAACCCGAAGTCCGTGGAGTGTTGCATCTGCTTGAAGGATTATTTGGATAGCGTTGATAGGATTCAACACACGGCATCGTTAGAGATGGAGATTGAAGCGGTGGAAGAAAATCCGGAAGAAAATGAAATCTCCTTGGGACTAAGCACGCCACCAACTACCGATACCGAGAGCACTTACTCACAATATGACGATGATGAGAAACTCGATATTGATGAGCTTGAAGACCAAGAGGCTATTAGATGAATTCAAGAGACTGGAACTCTTCAAGTCAATCCAACATGGGATACCGAAAAAGATTGATGAATAAACGTATTTTCAAAAAAACTGGTCAAAACCTGAAAGAGTAATTTGTGGTCATCAATAAATTAACGTAAGAAATTACAATAATTAGTTTATAAAGATGACCTCCGTTTTTATGTGTGCCTAAACTTGAACCCAACATTCAACAAAAATTGGGATGTTTTATGTTTAAACACCGCTCGATTTGATTACGTAAAGAACGACGAAAAAATGTGAAATATTCCAGACGTAATGATAAAATAATAAAAATGTCATACAAGACCAAATACGATGACTTCGAGACGAGAAACGTTTATCATTACTGATCCCGAAGATACAATTCCCATCACAAAATTCAGTGTGCCAAATGTACATGAAACTCACATAGATGTTTCGGCCGTAGAGGCACATGAGTTTCAGAAGATGAACCAGCATCCGAACATTGATAGCAATATTATAGTTGATGATCGTTGGTCGAAGGTTCACCATCATTATGGTCAAGATTGCCGAGACACGAGATCCTTTTCGCAGTTGGTCCTAATTCTGCAACAACCTGAAATTAATCACACTCTTCCAAAGAAAATACAACACTTAATATTTTGGATTGTCCAGATAAAATGAAACTTCGCATTTTGTGGAATACTTTTTTTACAGATTTAAAAGATATTGATGAGACGATTGAGGTCCGCAAATTTTCTCGACTTTGTCAGGGGTATTTTAGGTATTTGATTATTCATCAGTTTTATTAAACTATTTGTCAAATAAAAGACTTGAACCTATTAGACAATTAACTTGAAAGAACAAGATTACATTACCTTCAATAAGAAAACGTTGCTACCATTAATCTTTTATGGGCTGCCTAGGGGGTGTTTACTTACAGCTTATTGAGCTTAATTGTCTGGATGGCTTATTCGCTCAGCCATACACGAGTGTTTCTTTACGGCTTAATCGTTAAGTCATTCAGCCAAAATGGTTACATGGAATAAGCCAGGATCCCTCACTTGTCCCCATTAAGCCACCTTAAACAAATTAATACCAGATATGCCCTGGAAATAATGCAGCCCTCGGTCTTTGTCTCCCTCAATCCCATTGGCTCCCGTCCCTCAAACAAACATATCCTACTTGCTTATTCTAAATGGAAATGCTTTAGGGATCAGAAATAAACAAAGCAAGCCATGGATGAATCCAAGTGATCTTTTTAATTCCCAGATAAAATCAGGGGAAAGAATCGGTATAATCATGAGCTTAATTAGTCCATAATAATGTGGTCTTTAGAAAATAAAACTTGATCAATAATAATCACGGGCTATTAAGGTAACTTGTATTCGGTCTGCTATTTCATGCCCAATAGAAGTTAAGCCTATTAAGGGGCTGAAAATAGAAAAAAGAAAGGATAAAATGGAAGGCGAAGGTACCTGCCGGTGTAGAGCAGGGGCAAGCATTATCCAACTCTGCCGCGCCCCCTCCCCCTTCTCCTGCCTCGCCCCCTCCCCCTGCCCCTGAATTCTCCCCTACCATGGGCTCCAGGATCATCTCTTTCAAAACTAAACATGCTCATTCTGATATCATCTGCTTCTGTCACATGAGGACCCCTCTGTTCCTGAACCAATTAGAACTTAATCATGTCAATTTTTTTTGATGATCTGAGTGAAATGGTTGCGATTGCATATAAAAAATCCAAATGAATGACCTTTTATTCACTACGAAAAATAATTAATTAATCATCAAATACCCTTTACAGAAAAGTTGACCTTTTCGCGAAAAGAATATTGTGTATTCACTTGTGTGTATGATTAATGCATCATTAGTCTAGAATTTATACTAGCAGAACAAACAAGAAGGAATGCTAACATGAATGTCTTCCAAATCGAATTGGTTTTGAAGCTGGCGTGCAAGATCCTCATCTCGAGTAACATTTGGGGGTTCTTGTCTCGATGAAGAGCTCCCGCTAGCTCTTTTCTTTTCCCATTCCTCTAGAGTTAAAACATCAGAATCCTCCTCCTTACCCCTCCCTCTTTGTTTCCAACCTCTAGAATGCCCTTCATTGCGGTTAGAAATACTCAGTTTTTGGAGAAGCTTTTGTGCAGCAGCCTGATTTTGCACAGGAGCAGACTCGGCTACTGTCAAAGATAGAAGAACTCTGTCGGTACAATTATATCATAGAAGGTAAAGAATATTGTAATCATATTATATATAACACCTTCTTTTGGTCTTGCTTCAAGAGAAGGTTGGTTTTCTTCGGTTTTTTCAGTAAAAGAACCCGACTTCACATTAGCGTCCCTGCTATTGGGTTTTAGATCAGAAGCTCGTGATCCAGTTGTCTGCAAAGAACCAGACCTTGTACCCTTTTCGAAAACAGTAGGTCCAGAAGCTTTCGATGTTGCCTTAGAGTTGTCTGCAATTGATCAACCAACTTTCATGAGCTACAAACAACACCACTTTTACGAGATAACACAAAGAGACAAAGAACTAGAAATAAGAATCCAGAAGCTTTTAGTAAATTTGAAATAAAACTAAATTTTTTTATGGAAGGTCCATAATAGTTGCTAGCAGATATGCAATTTTCAGATAAATGTTTTTTGATGCTAACCAAAAAATCTGTTTTGTTGATTGATCCGTCTTGAAGGTGCCCCTGCCTGAAACTTCTCGAAAGGTGGTGGACCACCTGTGTCATCACTCTGTGACAACTTTAAGGTTGAACGGGTAAACCCTGCATATTTACGGTTCATCTCCCACTCTTCATACAACGCTGGAACAATACCTCCAAGAACAGTTACTACCTTTGCATTCAAGCATAAAATACCGCTGTGCATTACAACATTATTTTCCAAGCGGATCTGTGAACCAAAAACAGCAAAAAAATGACAGATTACCCTCCTACGAGAAGATTGTTACAAATATGACAACTATAATAAGATAATGTTTCACTGAGCCATAAGCATGCACGCAACAGCTGCAAAATGTCCATGTACGATGCAAGCATAGATTTTAATGTCTCATGATTACCCAACAACATGTTAGCCTATTATTTACTGCTATATATTTGGTTATAACAAAATAAAGCAATAAAGGTTCAAACTCATCCAATATAATACATAGCAGGCATACCAAGTTCAATATCAATCTCGAAGAATGAAGATAACCTAAGCAAGAATGGGCACTTAGTCTTATAAAATGCTTCCATAAACCATACATACAAAACCAGAGTTCCCTTTGTAGATACTTCAATGGTGTAAGTTCGATGCTCACATGATGTTTAAAGTGATAAATGGTAAGTCAATATTACCATGGTAAAGAATATGCACCTACATAACAATCAAAGATATCCAGAGATACAATATCCACATTTTCTATCTTTTTATTAACCTGGATATCCAACCCGCCATGCTAGCCGACTAATCCCAGGACAACCACCTGCTTTGCAGATAGTCCGGAGTCACCGCATTTGAACCTCCATGGCCACAAGGGGATTTTCATTCCTCCTTGGATTTGAACCTGGGACCTCCTGGTACTTTTGACCTTTGAAACTAAGCTCAAACCAATCAGGCACCACCCTTGTGGTTCACATTTTCTATCTTTTCCTTCATGGTCAAACTATTTTGGAACTATGGCCACGTATTCTACACGATTTCTTAAATTTCATCGGATTAACCTATTCCAACGAATTAGTTCATGCACGAAACCCATAAAGGGTGCGAAAGAATCAAGTTATGATTTGTAGGTGTAAGGTGAATCCGGAGACATTGTGTAAAACAATATCCTAAAAAAGCAGTGTGAAGACTATGGTTTAATACCCTGTAGATGTTCTGCTTACGGATGGAATCGATCTTGAAATTTCTTGTTTCCATGATACATTCCATAAATCTCTATTTACTGATCAACTAAAGGTGCATAAACTAGAGTACCCAATTTCTAATTCCCTGGCATTCTCATTTTCATTCCCATTTTCATTCCCATGTCTGAACCAAACAGACCCTAAATGTTTCACAGTCATTGTAACCTAAAACCTAAGTAGTACAAAGAACATAACCAAAACCCATAATCACCAAATGCCATACACAACTGTATTGAATTTGAATTCAAGATTGTACCTTGGTGCCTGGAACAACATTATCTGGAATGGAGGGAATATGAGTGAACTCTACAGCAGTCATATCTGAATGACCATCAGTAAGCTTCAATCTCAATAGCCGTTTACTGCTAGACCCCTCTGAACTCTCAGCTATACTACTTCTACATATGTCCTTCGCAGAAGATACCTACACAAAAGCACCAGATGGCAGCAATTTTTATACTTTCCGTAATAAAACCTAAACACGAATTGAATTGCGAAGACATGTAGGATAAGAAGATAAAACAATTTGCCTGAAGAACTTTAGGGCCATGAAAATGAGTGGATTTGCGGAGGGTAGAAGCATCAGGTAAACATTTCCCTCCGATTACTCGTAAGTCCATGTTACAGAGCTCCAATTCGATAGAACCAATGGTGCTATAATCCCCAGAGAACTTAGTTTCGATTAGCGTCTTGATTTGATCGATTTCTCGAAAACACCAGCCTCTGTTAGTTAGGGTTTGAATCAGAACCTCGGAGGAAGATGAAGTACTCGCCATTTCTTTGAGCGCCCACCAGGTGTTTGATCTTTGAACTATATAAACCGTAAATGGAGTATTTGGGCCAATTGTTGGACCCCACCTGGATTTTCAAGAAAAGCCCATTACAAAATAAAGAAGCCCATATACACGTCTCACCAGTCACCACCAGTCTCCCTCTACCCTCATCGACGAGACGACGCTCACCTGGCTCCCGCCGTCCGCCGCTGAACGCCACCGCAGGTTCGCTTTTCATGGGTTCTTGCATTAAGGTTCTGTTCATATGTGTCTTAAAGTTTTTTTCTGGATGCTTATCTCTGCTAATTTTACAAACCTGCACATTTCATACACTCTCACGATCTTCCCTTTAGTATGTGGTTTAGGATCGAGTTAAACAGTTTCCGACTTGCTAGCTTTAATGGCGGCACACACAGCTGCGCACACTAGATTTTAACACGCAGCTTTGCAAGTTAGGTCTTATTGGCCCATTATTTGTCAAAGCCCTAGTCTCAATTTAACCTACAAATAGTCTTTTTAGATATATTTCAATTCTAGGTCCAAAAAAAAGTGATTCTTCGACGATTTTGGAAATTTTAGAAGAAATTTCAAGGAAATGTGTGATTAATTCTTGAAACGATGTCATGATTATGGTTTATTAGTTTAATGGTGGTGATATTTGAGAAATCACATACCTAAGGCTGAGAGCAGTGAATCACCTCTGTCCTTCTGATGGCGGTCCGACTAAAAACCCCACAGGGACCTGAAAAAGAGGCTGTGAATGCTTGTACAATGTGCAGCAAATAGTGTAACAATCACTGAAGTAGTTTAAATTCCTACTTTAAACAGTTTCACTGCAACATTTCAGTTGCTTCTTTTTTGTGGAAATCTAGATTTTGATCTCATTGAAGCAGGAAAAGAACTTATCTTCTTGTTAAAAATAACTTATGTAATTTATGCTCATAATTAGTTAAATTCATATACTTTTGATTGTATGTTTAGACTTCATTTAACATAGCAAGTACCAACGTATACAATTTGTTTGACTATTATGCTACATCATATGTAATGTCGAGAACAAGAGTTAGTGAAGATAATAGATGCAACTTGTTAACCTTTCGGCTCCCAATTCAATAGAAAGCACACTGAAGGGGAAGTAATTCTCCGAAAGTAAGAACCTTTGAGCTCAATTTCTTGTCAGTCCATTCTATAATTTAAATAAACAAAACCAAGTGAATCCAATATATCCCTCTCGTCTTTTTGTACTTAGAAGAAAGTAGAAGAGTGTCTAGGAGAATAGAGGCAAGAAAGATCCCTTCCTGGGAGATATTCTATGATTTGTCAAGTCAAACAGGCTTATTTGTATCTTCTGTTTTCGAGCCTAATTTGATACTTCCAGAAAGTTATAACAGCCAACACAATAGATAAATGTTGGTGTTAAATTTCTGAAGATATATGTATATATATTGTAACTTAGAAATTACAAGGTTTGAACTAAAAATCAAAGTATATTTCTTCTTCTGCAACAGAGTGAATAGTTTAGACTATCTTCTAGTGACTTTGCAGTGGCTTAAGGATGTCGTGTTTTCATTTGTTGCACTACATTTGTACTAAACAATGGTAATTTTGTTATGTTTGGAGTAAACTGTAAATGCATAGCTTCCGTCTGTGATAATGATTACAATAAAGCAGAGGGTAACATTTATTTAACTGTTATTTTAGCTCATTTTTTATCAATTTTGTTTCACTATGGATGTTACTTGCAGTACTACATACCTTTGATTATATAGATATTTGGGACTTGTTTTATTGCAATGGCATGTGACAAATTGAATTATATATAAGCATCTTTATATGGCTAATAGCTTCTATTTTGTCATCTCTTTAATAGCTTCTATTGCGCCATTTAGTTTATTTCTTTTAAACTATTAGTGAATAATCTTGGTACGTAAAAGGTTTTTTTCTTTTGAACTATACATAATATTCAAATATGGGGGAGATATCCTTCTTTGTGGTTCAGGATCGTTGTCATTTTTTTGTGCATTCTTCTTTTAATTGTAGTGCTAACATAGCAAGAGACTAAGGGCCCATTTGTTTTGACGCAATGTTTTTGAGGGATTTGGATTTCGTGGAAGAATTTGGAATCTTTGGTGTGTTTGGTTTTGTGGGATTTAGAACGGAATCGAATTTTGTTCTTTATAAATAATTTCTAAAAATGATTAACTACCCCCATGGGATTTCTGCATTCCATGTTTGTGGGATTTCAAATCCAAGCATTCTTTCAAACCAAACATAAGACTGGAAATTTGATTCAATTCCAAATTCTGCAAACCAAACGGGACCTAAGAGGTAGGAACGAAGTGGTAGGAGTGTGCCACCTATGATATGAATTTTGTTACCATTATCATTTTATGCAAATTGAAACTTTGCCGGTAATGAATTGGATAAGCTCACTCAAGGACATATAAGATGATATACCACGGTGTATGCGTCTATTTAAGCTATAAACCAAACCAAAGTAACTCTGTAATTCCCACGTTGTGGTTGGGTTTTGGGGGTCCTTTGGTTAAATGACCTTCTAGTAGGGTTTGATTTTTTAAATTCATGAACTTTTGTCAGGTTTGAGAATGTCACTGTATAACAAAAGATAATCACTTCCATACACAAGAATGCCTAGAAACCTGTTAGTAGGTCATGGAGTTAAAAGCACTTGTCAGGAGGCCATTTTGCTAAATAACCCGTTCAGGGGTAGGATGTACGCTTGGTTGCTATCTCCATCCATTTTTTGGAACTATAAATGAAAGTCTGGCCCCAACTGGTTCCACACAAAGGCTTCTGCAATTTTTTTCCATTGAATTTTGCTCATTACTTTATGCATGCAAGAAACATGTTTATGGAAGTAAAACAATATAACTTCAATATTTTGTTTGTGGTCATATATGTGTGTATTTCTAAAGTTCTTAAATGACGTAAACGCTACTCGTTGTATCATAGACAACCTTGTTGTCATCTTGATGTTCTGAAATTCTACTTTTTGCAGACAACTATTTCCTTCCACGAGAGCCTGCAAATGTGTTATTTTTAGGGCAGTTAAAAACTGAACTGGGGTTTGTAGAAAATTGGAAATGAGTTTGTTTTTAAGGCTTCGGCATCATATACCAAATGGATTCTGTACGAAATCTATACGTTCTCCTCTTATTTCTCTCGCTTCCATAAAGTCAACAATCCTGACTAGAAACTTTAGTCAACCTGCAAGACAAGTGGAAGAAGAGGAAGAAATAGAGATCGAACAACGAAGACTGCCAACAGATTACGATCCTGCAACATTTGATCCAACGGAGCATCGCAGCCCTCCAACAGACCGTGTATGGAGGCTTGTAGATGAAATGTCATCACTCACATTGGCCGAAGTTGCAGAACTGTCTTCAATCATGATGAAAAAGATGGGTATGAAAGAGCCGCCAGTTGTGGCGGTCATGAAACCAGGAGCCGCCGGTGTGGCAACACAAGGTCAAACTGCAGCAAAAGAAGAGGCAAAGCCAGAAAAGACTATTTTCGAACTGAAACTGGAGGCGTTTGAAGCCGCTTCAAAGATCAAGATTATTAAGGAAGTTAGGAGCTTTACTGATCTGGGACTTAAAGAAGCAAAAGATTTGGTCGAAAAGGCGCCAATCGTGTTCAAGAAAGGGGTGACGAAAGAAGAAGGCGAACAGATAATCGAGAAAATGAAAGCTGTTGGTGCCAAAGTTGTGATGGAGTAGCAAGAATCAGATGCATAAAAAAGACAAACTTTTGGATCTTTTTCTGCATTTGAGGTACACCCACCTCTTGAAACACCCCTTTCTTGATGAAACTAGTGTTGAAAGTGAAGCATGTGATCAGCTTCTCTTCTTAGTGAAGAATGGTTTTAATTAGGGTTAGGGTTTTAGCAGCATATTTATACATTTGTGTGCTTATGAACCATTGCCATGAGGGAAAGTTTGGATTTTTGTTCTACTGCTTTTTGCCCACTTGAGATGTATGCTGAGAACAAGTTCTAATAATATGATACACTTCTTTGATGTTAAATCAAATCAAACAAATCCAGTTCTCGTATGAAAGTTGGGTTTGAAGGTAAGATGTATGCAGACTCTGTCTGTTCTTTGATGGATGTGTTTGGTACGAACCATTATATATTCTAACGAGGTGATCGTCTGTTGATGGGTGTGTTCAGTATGCAGTCTACTGATGAAACTGGACCGGAGGGGTGAGATTGAGGTAAGCGGATGAATGAATTGTGCAAGGTTGTAGGATTTTTAATTTTGTAAGGGTAGTTTAGTAATTTACCAATCTTGTTTCATTTATCTGATTTTTACATATTTGTTTGTTTTTTCGAACCTATCTTATGGCACTCGAGTCCTTTTGCATGATGTCGTAAAAAATGGAGAATATATGATTTTCTAAAACAATGAATCATGGTTTATAATCATTATGTTATCCATGAAATTTCATCATCATCGTGACAATATTGGATTTTTGCATGTTTGCAGATTTTTGTCATAATACTTCATCAGTATTTTAATTTTCTAAAATAAGTCGCTCAATCTAATGGATTTTGAGTTAACAGAGCAAACTCTTAGGGGTTGTTTGTTTACCTCTTAATAGTTCCATTAAGAGGCAACCTTTGAATCGTTAAGAGGTGAATCTTGTTTAACAAAAAAAAATCTGTCTCTTAATGGTTCTAAAACTTTCTGAATGATTTTGTATCTTGAATCTCCCTTAACCATTAAGAGCCATAATTTCATTGTATACAATTATATTTCATTTTGCATTATATCATGAGAGTCTCTTAATCATTCTGACCACTTAATCATTCTGCATCAAACCATACAGCAAAAACCAAACAGCCCCTTAGTATTTTAAGAGCTTTTTGGCAACAAAATATATATATATAGAGGTTGGAAGTGTAATTTTCAAAAATTATGTAAATTTGGAAATTATAAGTATGAATTTAATCTCTCCGTCCTAAAATAAGTGTTCACATTTCTATTTATTTGCACCTTTTATCTATTAAAAAGTCCAAAAATATCTGGTAAATAACATTAAATGACCTATAAGTTTGAAAAATGACATCATTTCACTTCTCTTTCTCTTATGTACCCTTTTTTTTACTTTTTTTTTTAATTAGTAGATGATAATGATTATTAGTCTATAGTAATTATAATTTTCATTTATATTATATTAATCAAATTTAAAATCAATAAACTAGAAAGACAGTATGCCTTGTTATTTATAAAAAATAATATATAGTAATTATAATTTTCATTTATATTATATTAATCAAATTTAAAATCAATAAACTAGAAAGACTATATGCCTTGTTATTTATAAAAACTAATATAATTTATTTTATAATTTTACAAGTTTTAACGATATGGATAGTTGTATGGTTTGTCTGTATAATTTTTTTTTTAAATTTCATATACTAATCCTTAATTTTCCTTTTATATATATTTTCATAGAATATGTCATTAGTCCCGTTACAACTTCAAAAATTTAGAAACTAATCCATCATCTTTTTCCAACTTTAAAACTTAAAGAATAGTCGACCAATTATTATTTAAATTTTGAATATTCAAATAATAATTTTATCAGTATTTCAACAGTTTTTAAAAAAAATAAGATAATAACTCATCTCTTTTTATTAAAACTTCAAATATAAATTAGTTTAAGTTGTATTATGTTTTATTTATAAAAACAATATTGTTGTAATAAACATATATAGAAGAAGCATTGTTATATAATAATAATAATTATAATAAATATAAAATGATGTTAATATTGAAAATTTAAGAATTTAAAATAAAATATGTATTTTTATTATTTTTTATATTTGTATTCTTGTTTAAAAAATGATATATTTTTTTTATCTTAGGTGCTAAATATTAATACAAACAAATAATAATAATAAACTTAATTAAACATTTTAATATCAAATTAAAAATCATTGACTTAAATAAACAAATAACAAAATTAACTAATCCAACTTAATATACATTATCAAAAATCCAAATTTAGATCGGATAATCTTAGGGGTGTTTGGGATTGCTTATAAAAACAATTTATTGACTTATTCCGGTGTGGCACCGGTAATAGGTACTTTTGAGTGTTTGGATAAATAGCTTATACTGGTGACAAACCGATAGTAAAGAGTTTTTGAAGAAGTTAAATCATTCTAACTTATAATAAGTTGATAAAGATTTTTTATAGAAAATCATGAGTTGTTTCAAATAAGCAATCCCAAACACCCCTTTAATAAAAATAATATATTTTTTATACATTTAAACAATGGGAAAATAAAAGCCATTTACTATCACACAAAAAACCTCAATATGAACCACAAGAGTGATGTCTGATTGGTTTAAGTTTGACCTCCAAAGATCAAGAGTGTTTGGAGGTCCCGGGTTTGCATCCAATGAGGAGTAAAAATTGTTTTGTTGCCACAAATGTTCAAATGTGGTAACTCCAAGTTACCCGTTAAATGGACGGTCGCCTTATCGAATAAGGTATTAGATATCCATATTAATAAAAAAATAGAGACACTGAAAACTGTATACTCTCGTTAATCATAAACCTTTCACAATTACATAGAGACTAGTTGTGTACTCGTGCAATGCGGCGAAAACCGTGAATTATAACAATTTTGAAGTTTCATTGGGTTTATTAGAGAAGATTTTTGATAGGGAGGGGGGAGACCCCTCCAGATCAATAAAAAACACTAAAACGCTAATAAGCAACAATGAAGCTCTCGGGTAGGAGGAAACCTCAACTACTAGAATCCAAGGCACCCAGAAGGGAAAGAGAAGGAGAAGAGGAGAAGAGGGACGAAAAGGAGAGAAAGAGAAGAAGAGAGAGAGGGAGAGGGAGAGAGAGAAAGAGAAAGAAACCAGCCACAAGGGAAAGGCCCAGCCAAGCCAAGACCAGGAAACAACAGGGAACACCACAAGGGCAGGAGAAGGGGCCTAAAAAGGCACACCCTAGACCGCACCAAGAAAACCCAGAGCGCAGAAAAGCACACACAGAAAGACAAACTACACAAACGAAACAGACAGTTAAGGAAGGTTCCAGGCAAGCCGAACCCGGACAACATTGGGGGAGGGCTTGAAGGTCAGACTAAGGAGCCTAGACCGGACATCATCAGTAATTGTCTTACCCACCGCATTATGCGATCTTCTTTTGCTTTTGAAGATGCGATTATTTCTTTCTTGCCACAAGTGGTAGACGGTCGCAACAAGCACTAAGCGACGAATGATAGACCATATGGTCTTTCCTTTGGTGGCTTGCTGAAACATACCAATAATATCAGCCCAGATGTCCGGGACACCATTGAGATTCAGCTTGGTTTTTAAATCATTCCAGACCACATTAGGGAACGGGCACTTAAAGAAAAGATGCGAATGCGAATCAGGCCCGTTTTGACATAACGCACAAGACAGGTCGGAATGGGTCTCCCAGAACCGGAGTTTATCGTGCGTCTTGAGACGCTGCTTTAGGGCAACCCACAAAATGAAGGCATGTCTGGGGATGCTTTGAGAGAACCATACTAAATGATGCCAGGAGACATCAGGCTCATTTGGACGGAGGGAGAGCCACACCTCACGAACAGAGAAAGAAGTGAGACGGCCATCCCTAGTTCTCCAGAGGAGCTTATCAGGGGTGGTCGTGGAAAGGACAGGGAGGGGAGAGACACGGATAGAAGGGTTGGAATTGTCCCTCAGGAGAGGAGACATCCAATTTCCCTGGAAAACAATATCTCTGACAGAAGCAGAGAGAGAGATATTAGAGTTGAGAATACTACAGGAAGAGATATGCCGGTAGAGGGGCCCAGCCGGATGCCAGTTGTCATACCAGGCAGACGTGGACGCGCCATCACCAATCTGGGAGACAATGAAGTCTCTTATCTTTTCCCTCATACCCAGGATCTTCCTCCAGCCTCAACCAACATCACTGCGTATCGGGGCATCCCAGAAATTACGGTCTTTCAGTCTGTAGGAGTGGATCCATTTAACCCAGAGTGAGTCCTTATTGGTAAGGATTCTCCAAGTGTGGGAGGCCATGAGGGCAAGATTCCAGCTGGCAAGGCTCTTTATACCCAGTCCGCCTTGAGATTTGGGGAGGCAGACAGTCTTCCAGGAAACCTTAGTTTTCCCTCTTTTTAGCTCACCGTGGCACCAAAGAAAAGCCCCGCATGAGCTTCTCAATCTCTTTGGATATGGAAATCGGAAGCACGAAAATAGAGGCCCAATAGATCTGCATCGAGGACAGGACCGAGAGAATGAGCTGCAGTCTACCGGCGAACGAGAGGGACTTATTCTTCCAGTCATTAAGCCTGGAATTGACCTTGTCAACAAGGCCCTTACAATCCCTATGGTAGAGGCGGGTGGTAATGAGGGGGACACCAAGATAACGCACCGAGAGGGAACCCTTCGGAAATTGAGTGATGGATTGAATGGACTCCTTGGTGTGCTGGCCAACATTACAATAGAAGGCCTCGCATTTGGCCGGACTCGGAAAGAGACCAGACACATTCGAAAACTCATCAAGGGAATCCTTTATGACCCGGGCAGAGTCACTATCACCATGACTGAAAATGAGGAGATCATCAACAAAACAAAGATGGGTGATCTTCTGCTCCTCACAATTCCGGTGATAGGAAAAGGTGTCCGTCTCATGAAATTTTCTTTTGGTCAAGAGGTTGAGGACCTCCATGACCAGGGTGAAGAGATAAGGGGAAAGAGGATCACCCTGCCAAAGTCCTCGGCCTCCCTTGAAGTAGTCATGGAGGTTTCCATTTATACTGACCGAGTAAGAGGCCGTGGAAACACATGACATTATCCATTTAATAACGGTAAGGGGAAAACCAAAGCCGAATAGGGCAGTGCGAAGGAAATGCCAATCAACGGTATCATAAGCCTTTTGGTTATCAACTTTAAAGGCACAGCCGGGGGGGGGGGGGCGTTGCTTATGATAGCCACGCATGAGCTCCTGAACAAGAAGAATATTATCAGTAATGAGCCGACCCGGGATAAAGGCAGACTGGTTGAGGTCAACTAGAGAAGAAAGGTGATCTTTTAAACGGTCAGCAATGATCTTGCTAATGATTTTATAAATGACATTACAGCAAGCGATAGGACGAAAATCAGTAACACGAGACGGGGCATCCGTCTTGGGGATAAGGGCCAGAATAGTGCTATTGATAGACTTTAAGATCTCACTATTCATGAAGAATTCACGAACGGCGGAGCACACATCTCTGCCAACAATACTCCAAGCGGCTTTGAAAAATTTAGAAGTGAAACCGTCAGGCCCCGGAGCGTTATCATCTCCCATTTGGAAAAGGCTAGAGAAGATTTAACGATGATATAAGTTACACTTGGTCTTTACATATTAATACAATTTGAATAAATAAGAGTTATGTTTTTAATTACAGTCTATCGATGAAAAAATTTGTATGTCAGTTTAAAATCTAATATATTTAAAATCCAACATATTTAAACGACTCCATAAATGTGTTCGATTTGCACCAAGGGCAAATATTGAGGATCGAGAGCAATTGAATGAGAGATGAACAAGATAACTTTTAATAACTCATGGTGAATATCAGTTTAAATCTCACCTTAGAGGATGAAAAGAAGAAATAGAGGTATAAGACGGTGAAGACATGAGTGAAAGATGTCAAAAGTATCTTAAAAACATGAAAAAATAATAATAATGTGCATTGGTAACTTGTACTATATGTTATTTTAATTATAGATTAAGAGATTTTAAGACTAAATGCATAACATAATAATATTTAATGCATTATAAATTGTTTTTAAGACTTGTAAAACTTTGTACATTAAAAATTGTTTTTAAGACTTTTGATAAATATGGTTGATAAGATAGTCATATGGGCCTAACCCAGACTATTATATTATTATCCATCCGATTCCGGCCCATGGCTATAATGGGCTTCATGGCCTGCTTAGCTATAATGGGTTTCATATCACCATTTCCTTCATTCTCTCCCGCCAAAACATACCCTCCACCCCCATTTAGGCGCCAAATCTCATATCTCTCTCTATCTGTGAAATTCTCGCTACCTCCTCCTCATCCTCCTCTCTCTCTCTCGCTCTCTCGCTTTCTCTGTGTCTCTGGTTCGCGAACTGCTACAATCGGCCGGCAGCACGATGAAGGATGTCGATTTCAGCCGAGACAAAGGTATGTTTTCTTCTCTAAACCATGTACTACATCATATCTTCTTCAAGTGTTAATTGTCTGTCCAATTTACAGATCTGGCCAAAGATTTTCTTCAAAACTTTGCAGATGCAGACGGCGATGCCAAATATATTACCATTCTTGTAAGTTCACATAACTCATGTTTTTTTAGGGCTTCGTTTTATCATTTTATATATTTACTTACAGTAGTAACTCTTTTTTGCTCCCTGCACAGCAAGATGTTGCCAATCGTAAAGTCAAAGCAATTCAAATTGACCTTGAAGATCTATTTGATGTATATTCCGCATTCCTTTCAGTTACTATTTTATTACCGCTTTAGTTTTTAGATTTGATGCTAAAAAACCTCTTTCCATCAGTACAAGGATTTGGACGAGGAGTTTGTGGGACGAGTTACGGAAAATACCCGGAGATATATTGGAATTTTTGCCGATGCCATTGACGAGCTAATTCCTGAGCCAACAGAGGCTCTCCCGGACGACGATCATGACATATTGATGACACAAAGAGCTGAGGAAGGCAATGAGAATGCTGATGGAACCGATCCAAAACAGAAGATGCCCTCAGAAATTAAGCGTTTTTAGTAAGTATAAAATGGAGCTCTTCTTTTTTGTTGCTTAAATTGGTTCTGGTTTTCATTTCCTGTTTAAGAATACTACTTTGATTTCTGACATCTTTTCTCAATTTGCTGCAATTAGACAAGTGTATTTGAAAAGGGTTCGTTTTAATTCATAACCCATGCCCATTTTTGTCGTTATCGTGAAAACATGACCACAATTTTTTAACGTTATATTAATGGAATCAACCAATGGAGCTATATTATATTTTACAGCTTCTGCTTGAGACGAATTATGTTTATATGATAATTGCTTGAAAAAATCATGTTAATGCTCAAATTACAGTTTATTCAAGTGTTTAATGCTCATTTTTTGTAAACCAGTGAGGTTTACATCAGAGCTTCTTCCAAGGGTCAGCCATTTACTATAAGGGAGGTTAGGGCTTCACACATTGGTCAGCTTGTCAAGATATCTGGTATTGTGACTCGTTGTTCAGATGTAAAACCGTTGATGAAGGTTGCTGTTTACACATGTGAAGAGTGTGGTTTTGAAATATATCAGGTATGTAATCATGTTTACTTTACACTCACTTCAGATTTATATTTGTGTATGTTAAGGACTTGATGCTTAATTTTTTTTGCTAGTATGGTACTACCTATTCCATTTTTAGTCTGTGAGCTATATTTTTGTGGAATCTCACACAATGAAAGCAATATTTCACAAATAATCCCTGCAGGTCCATGAAGTGGGACAGACTTGTGTGTTTGGTTAGTGCTTCAAAGCACTATCCAGCATGTGGGATTGTTGTAACTAGACTTCCTATTTATACATTTCTTAGCACTGGACATTCTTGATTATATGACATTCTAATTCTATGAAACAGGAGGTAACTGCTCGAGTGTTCATGCCTCTGTTTGAATGCCCATCCAAGCGCTGTAATGTTAATCGGGCAAAAGGAAATCTTATCCTTCAACTCAGAGCTTCAAAGTTTTTGAAATTTCAGGAGGTCTCTTGTTTTGCACTTCTTAGTAGTTTAAATACTTGTTTGCAGGATTTTCATGTTTTGTGTAACACGAGATGTTTTCATATCGGCTTTCTTACATGAGATGTTAACATAAAAAAAAATTCAGGCCAAACTTCAAGAGCTTGCTGAACATGTTCCGAAAGGTCATATTCCTCGTTCAATGACTGTCCACATCCGAGGCGAACTTACAAGAAAGGTTTGTGTTGAAGTTGGCTAATCTTAGAGATTACTAAATGTATAAATTGTTTTAACTGCATTTTAACGCCTGCTTAAAATTTTCAGGTATCCCCAGGTGACGTTGTTGAGCTATCCGGAATATTTCTTCCTATTCCTTATACTGGATTTAGAGCAATGCGAGCAGGCTTAGTGGCAGATACGTACTTGGAGGCTATGTCTATTTCCCATTTTAAGAAAAAATACGAGGAGTAAGCAACTGTTAGATTTTTCTGCTCACAAGTATCTTTTATTAAGTATTCTCTTTACCCCAAAAGCTACAACTTCATGGATCATGGGTTTGAATAGGCGTTTTCCTTACCGCCTTGTTTATTCTACTTGGGGACGCTTAAATATAAGAAATATGTTCATTTGTTTTAGGGTTTGCCACTACTTATCCCCTGACTATGCTATTTATTTTTCTTCAGGTATGAACTCAAAGGGGATGAGGAAGAACAAATTGCATCCCTAGCTGAGGATGGTGATATATACAACAAGCTGGCTCGCTCATTGGCGCCTGAGATTTTTGGACATGAAGACATCAAGAAAGCTCTTCTCCTCCTCTTGGTTGGAGCTCCTCATCGGAAACTGAAGGATGGGATGAAGGTAATTGCATGGTTGAGAGTCATGTTCATATCCTGACAAACAAGATTTCTGCATGATAATATGGCCAATTTTCTGCCTTTACTGTCTTCATCCTCTTGCCATCCATGTATCATTACTTGCACAAGTTGAATTAGATCTATGTTAGCTAAAAGTTGGGTTTTTAATATCTTATGCATGAGCAATCCTGATATATATTTGTTTGTCATTCTAATATGGTTCTCTGCATGTTGTGCAGATAAGAGGAGATCTACACATATGTTTGATGGGTGATCCTGGAGTTGCAAAAAGTCAACTTCTTAAGCACATAATTAATGTTGCACCAAGGGGTGTGTATACCACCGGCAAAGGAAGCAGTGGAGTTGGTCTTACGGCAGCTGTTCAGAAGGACCCAGTGACGAACGAGATGGTCCTGGAAGGGGGAGCATTGGTGAGGATAACTTTCTTCCTACTCAAGTCATTTTCTTTTTCATGGGGATTCCAGTTGCTGGCATACAACCACTATATTTACCATTCATGTATAGAAGAACTCTTGCAACAGGAACTTGTGTTATTATTACACTTTAGTTCTAAGGACTTCTGCCTCTGTCCTTGACCAGGTGCTGGCGGATATGGGCATATGTGCAATTGATGAGTTCGATAAGATGGACGAGTCAGATAGGACAGCCATACATGAAGTCATGGAGCAACAGACGGTTAGCATTGCGAAGGCTGGGATCACAACATCCTTGAATGCGAGGACTGCAGTCCTTGCTGCTGCCAATCCTGCCTGGTACATATGAAACGTTGTTTCTGTTCCTGATCTATTTCTAGTCCTTGTCTTTGCCTAATTTGAATATTTTCTTTTCTGGGTTTCTATCTTGAAGGGGAAGATATGATCTACGTAGAACTCCAGCCGAAAATATCAACCTCCCTCCAGCACTTTTATCAAGATTCGATTTTTTGTGGTTGATCCTTGATCGAGCAGATATGGACAATGATCTTGAAATGGCTAGGCATGTTGTTTATGTCCATCAGAACAGAGAATCTCCTGCCCTTGGGTTTGCCCCACTTGAAGCTTCTGTTCTTAGGTATTTTCCACAAGTCTTGTTTGTAAATATACTGTGTGGTCATATTGAGCATCGAAAACTGAATCTTGGAAAGTGGAAACTAGTTCTTTTAATCAACCACGGTGAAATAGTTACTAAGTTTAATATTTTGCTTCGTGGTATTTGATAGGGCATACATATCAGCTGCGAGAAAGCTGTCTCCTTCAATTCCAAGAGAGCTGGAAGAGTATATAGCTACTGCGTACTCGAGCATGAGGCAAGAAGAAGCAAAATCAAACAGCCCACACTCTTACACAACTGTCAGAACTCTTCTCAGCATTCTGCGGATATCCGCTGTGAGTTTTCTTGAATACGTATATATGTCGTAATAAAGGGTAGAAGAATGTAATAGCATCGGATGATGATGTTGTTGTTGTTTGTACATACAAACAGGCACTTGCTCGGCTGAGGTTCTCAGACAGTGTTGGTCAGAGTGATGTCGACGAGGCACTTAGGTTGATGCAGATGTCAAAGTTTTCTCTGTACTCGGAAGATCGGCAGAGGTCAGGTCTCGATGCAATCTCAGATATTTATTCGATTTTACGCGATGAAGCAGCGAGGTCGAACAAGATGGATGTAAGCTATGCACAAGCTCTCAACAGGATTTCAAGAATGGTTAGTAGTAGCATCTTTACATACCCTCTTACTAGTAGTAGTAGTAGTAGATTTTATATGAGAGAATGTATTGGTGATGGTTGTGAATGTTGCAGGGGTACACCGAAGCTCAGCTGAAAGAATGCTTGGAGGAATATGCAGCATTGAATGTGTGGCAGATCCATCCAAACACCTTTGATATTCGATTTATTGATGCATGAACATGTTGTATTTTTTAAGATTTTTGTAATGTATTTGTGGTAACAAAATACCTTCTGATATTTTAAGATTAGGAGTCGTGCATTGTCATCTATTTATAGGATGGTTTCACGTGAAATCAATTTGGTTTTGTGAGACCATTTGTTTACACTTGAAACTTCATAACAAAATGTTGTGACAGTAAAAAAAACGAACATTCACAGTAAAAACATTGTGAATGTTATCTTCACAGCGTTTTACTGTGAAAGTTATTTTCATAGGGTTTTGCTGTGAAGTTAAGTGTAAAAAAATGTTTTTACGGTCTCACGAAAACAGTCTGGTCTCAAGTGTATTTTGGAAGAGAATGGGTATCATCAGAATAAGCATTAGTGATCACATGATATTAAAACATTAGTCAACTATTAGAGCAAAAAATTGTTAAAATGTCTTTGTTTTCTATTTTAGCATAGTTGTCTCACAAATTCTTTGTAGTTTATTTAAAATAAAGAATTATATTTTTAGGGTGTGTTTGGTATACTGAACAAGGATAAAACAGGATAGAGATCCTTGTCCCATGTTTTGCATGATTTTTATGTATGCCAAAAAGCACAACCCAGAAAACACAATATGCGCTCCACCACCACAATGTGAATAATCCGTCCTCTTCTCTTTGAAAGAAGGGGCGCTTCCGGTTCTGTCGGTGCTTGAAATAATTTTGTCTTCTCCATATTACTATATCTCTAGAGTCAATAATTTTATATGAGGAACTACTGAACTCCCGGATCTATGCTTATTTTCAACTCCCCGAAGCATTTCGTCGCTTACTACGCCCTTCCTCGTCTCTGGGTGCCTAGGTATCCACCGTGTGGCTGATCATCCTCTCGGACCAGCTACTGATCATCGCCTTGGTAAGCTATTACCTCACCAACTAGCTAATCAGACGCGAGCCCCTCCTCGGGCGGATTCCTCCTTTTGCTTCTCAGCCTACGGGGTATTAGCAGCCGTTTCCAGCTGTTGTTCCCCAGATTTAATTCTCGTGTCATAAGAAAAAAAAATTTGGGAAGACTGGAACATAAGGTAGTGTTTGGTACGCAGACTGGATGAGACGGGACGGGACAGGACTAATATTCTATCAATATAACCTTAAAATATAATTTAATAATAATAAAATTATAAGTATAACGGTTTTGTTATGATTTTAATTGATGTGAAATGGATTTAATGCTTGATTTGGAAAGAAACAAAGTAAGGGAATGGGATGTGGTTATCAGAATATTGAATTACATGGATCAACCACCACTATTCTATACCTACTCCATTTATGACCATTTATTATTTCACAACTATTTTTGTTCACATTTCTCCATATTTCAAATTTTCCAAATTTAGTATTTTTTTTATAAAAAAATACAATTTCATGACCAGTGAAAACGGGTCGGGTTGGCAACATTTCTTGATATATATATTTTTTAATATAATATATAAATAAATAGTTGTATTAGATATCAGTATGAGATTGAGTTTACGTGAGATCAGTCTGTTTTCATATTATAGTGAGACTTTTACAGAAAAATATTACGAAGGTTTATTTTCACAGAGTTTCATTGGGAAAATTCATTCAATGTTTATTTATGTGGTCTCATAAAAAGAGTCTGATTTCATATGATTCTAAGAAGTTATTTGGTAGTTGCTGAATGATTTTGTGTAGAATGATTAAAAGACTCTCGTGATATAATGTCAAATGAAATATAATTGTTTGATAATTGTTTACAATGAAATTGGGGCGTTGAATGGTTAAGAAACACCCATGATACAAAATCATTCAGAGAGTTTTAGAACCATTAAGAGACATTTTTTTTACCAAACAAGATTTACTTCTTAATGATTCAGATGCTGCCTGTTAATGAAACTATTAAGAAGTAAACAAACAAACCCCTAATTCCACCATTTATTTTATGTTATATATTTTATCCCATGAAAATGAGATGAATACTATTTAAAGATAAATGTATTTTCCTTATCATAATCTTTTATAAAAAAATATTTTAAGAAAATAGAAGAGTGTTTAAAAAAAACAAAGTATATGGTTAAATGTGAGTTATTATTAGAGGGATTAATAATTTGAAAGCATAAATGTAGTATTTATTGAAGGTTGTTTTCATAAAATATGATAATAGATAGAGGTTTATTCAAGGGAGAACTGATTAGTTTGTAATAAACGTGAGATCCAATGTAAATAACTCGTTTGAGATATTTAAAAATATTTCTTAAAAAATAAGCTAAAAGTGTAATATAATAATTCTATTTTTGACAACTAATTAAAATATTTAATTAAATTTTTTAAAATGAAATATTTAATTAAAATTAGTTACATAATATATCAATTACCAAATGTACATCGTATTTTAAGGCCGTTTGTGAATCAAAGTGTATCATAGTGATATTGTTCACAATGTTTCACGTGTATCACAATTTTTTTTTGTTTTATTGAATGTATCATAATGTGCATTTTTGTTATTTTCATTGTTTTACAAAGGGTATCACATTGTGCATCTTGGATGTATATCTGAGTATCACAGTGAATATCTTTTGTATGTATCACAGTGTGTATCTTTGTTCATATAAGGTTCGTCGAATAATATTCGACAGAGAGAGGAAAGAGGAGAGATAAGAGATAATATTTATAAAATCCTTAAAATGTCCTTAATTATTGTCCATTTATACAACAAATGCAAACCAATTAATTGAGATATTTATGGAAATGATGAGAGTTCATTTATTATGATTTGAATATTTATGAAAGATGACTAGAGTTCATTAATTATGACCAATACTTTATATTATGAAACAATCAAAACTTTTATGAAATTACATATTCATCAAATTATATGGACGGTTAAGATTGAGTTGTATTAGTTGTACAAATATAAATGGTTGCATAATAACCCACCTATATATATATATATATGTATATATATATAGAGAGAGAGAGAGAGATGAGCGATCAAAAGCAAACCACCCAATTTGTACAAATCGTACAAACCACCCTCATCCGTCGATTTCATTGTTTAAATCTTATGAAAATTTTTAATGAAATTGTTTAATTTTATGAAATTGTTTCATTTAAAACTTTTTTTTTGATGAAGTTGTTTCATATATGACTATGAAATTATTTCATATAATACTTAATGAAATTTTAATGAAACTGTTTCATGTACTTCTCTAAAATTAAGATGATTAAGATGATAAAATCAATGATCAACACCCTCCACAATAAAAATGATTAATCAACCTCTCATAATTACAAAAAAATTAAACAAAATGAAAAATTATGATTGGTTGTAAACCTCCTCTCTCTCTCTCTCTCTATATATATATATGTATATATGTGTATATATATATATATATATATATATATATATATATATATATATATATTCAAATTAAATATGTAC